ATATTTACCTGTCAAGTAATCCATTAATCCTGTTCATATATCTGATGTATTCCAGTTTCATAATTCTTGAAAAGACAAAATTGCGTGCTATATCCAGCGAGTCAGAGAGTAATGTAAAATTTCAGTTCCATTTCTACAATTTTATAACGCTTTTTTCCATCATATTGTTCGTTTAATGATCTTGACATTTCTTATGTGTATTGTAGAATCTTTTGACATAAACATTCGAAGTTCACGACCAATCAACCACTTTTTCTGAAAAACAAAACAAAAATTATTATTGGAAAATGCTGGGAAAATGATAACATGCATTCGGAAGAAACAGAGGATTCCTTTCATATTGGGTTGGTAAGAAAGGCTTGCGACATACAAGCAAGACTTTCTCACGAACCCAATATAAAAGAAAAAAGTTGTCCATCGAGTTTGTAATCAATTTTATTTTACTATTTTATTAATAACCTTGTAGCGCTATTATTATTCATAATCAATGTTCTTGTTATCTTCAATGACCATGATATTTTCTTAATTTTTTGTATCCATCTCAAAGTACTCAAATTGTAATTAAACCGAATTTTTGTTTGGGAATGAAACTGGGTTATAATATACTCTGATTAACAATTCTGGCTGTCCTGACTTCGCGACCCTTCAGCAGTGGATCAGAATTTTGTATTCTCCTTAGCTTATAGGTAATCTTGTTTTTTGATAACTACTGAATTGTCTGCTTGTGAAAATCTGGCTCTAGAAAACATCAGCGAACATTCGTGATTTACATCCGCAATACTTGGCACAGGCGTATTATAATGTTTTAATCTGTAAAAACAAAAACGATTAAAAATATATAACTAATGAACATAACATCGACCATGGGTCCATTTATTAAAAGTGGATGAGCTCTTATTACCATCCGGTATCTATTTTCCCCAATTCTTTTCTTAAGCATCGCCAACCATATATAGATCGTGTTTCTTGTAATTTACATTCCTAAGTCGTATCTATCCGACTTTTCATCACTGGACATTTATTTCCAGATAATTCAGATTTCCCCAGGATACTTTGATCTCTTTACAAGTCCACTGTAGTTATGCATCTGCTATAGTGAATGCTAGTATAAATGAACATGGAGAGAATGATAAACAGATTGCATAGGTAGAATTTTGCATCGATATCTTCCGGAGAGTCTTCTGTAAAAATAAAAAGTTGAACATAGAGGTTCAAATTTATTTATACAATAATAAATGGGAGCGTTATAGTATTACCTTCAAAATTTTTAACTTTTTATCGAACTAATTGCTGTCTCAATAATCAGTAGAGTCGGTAGCGTAATATAGTTTCTTTCTGCATTCTGAATAGCAGTC